GCCGAACCGCCGCTTAATGCCGCAAGCCTTGGGTGAATGCAAGTGGGTTTTTGATGCCGTTTCCGGTGGCCCGTCCTGGCCTTGTGTTCGCCGTCCGGCTGCGTCACAAAGCGGCCAAACCGAAGCCCAGCCGCAGGCCCGAAACGCCGCCATGACCGACGATCACAGACAGGACAGCGACGCCACGGCGGCTCCTCCGGCGGTTGCCGCAAAGACCCCGGACGATCTGTTCGCCTTTCTCGACGCCCTGTCGATCGCGACGACGACGCACGAGCATGCGCCGGTCTTCACGGTCGCCGAAAGCCAGGCGTTGCGCGACGAAATCCCCGGCGGGCACACCAAGAACCTGTTTCTGAAGGACAAGAAGGGCCGCTACTTCCTTCTGACGGTGGGCGAGGAGGCGGAGATCGACCTCAAGCGTATCCACACCCGGATCGGCGCGCAGGGCCGTGTCTCGTTCGGCAAACCCGAAGCGCTGATGGCGCTTCTGGGCGTGGTACCCGGCGCGGTCACCTGTTTTGGCGTCATCAACGATGCCGACAACCAGGTGACGCTGATCTTCGATGAGGCGCTGATGGAGCATGAGATCATCAACGGCCACCCCTTGCGCAACGATGCGACGACGTCGATCGCGCGCGACGATCTCAAGCGTTTCGTCGAAGCGACCGGCCACGCCTTCACCATCTTGAATCTGAGCGCGCCCGAGGCGACATAACGCCCATCACGGGATGAATTGCAGAAAAGCGCATCGTCGCGATGCGGGGACAGTGACCATGACCAACAACGACAATCCTTTTGCAACGGGCGGCGGCGCCGGCGGCTATGGCAACCAGACGGTGGATTTCGGCGCAACGCCCGCCAACGGCGCGGCGAACAGCTCGCCCGCAGCGGCGCCCGGCGCGCTGATCAAGGACACGACGACCGCCGACTTTCAGACCGACGTCGTCGCCGAGTCGCGCAACCAGCCGGTGCTGATCGACTTCTGGGCGCCCTGGTGCGGCCCGTGCAAGCAGTTGACGCCGGCACTCGAAGCGGCGGTCCAAAAGGCGGGGGGCAAGGTCAAGCTCGTCAAGATGAACATCGACGAGCACCCGGCCATTCCCGGCCAGATGGGCATCCAGTCGATCCCGGCCGTGCTCGCCTTCGTCGACGGCCAGCCGGTCGATGGCTTCATGGGCGCGCAGAGCGAAAGCCAGGTCGAGGCCTTCATCGACAAGCTGGTCAAGCAGTCCGGCGGCGGCGCGCAGAACGCGGCCATCGAACAGGCGCTCGCCCAGGCAACGGAGGCCGCCGCTGCCGGCGACGTCAACGGCGCCGCCCAGCTCTTCACCATGGTGCTGCAGCAGGAGCCGGAAAACGCCGCCGCCTATGGCGGCATCGCCGCGCTGATGGCCGATCACGGCCAGCCGGACCGGGCGCGCGACATGCTCGACCAGGCGCCCGAATCCATTCGCGAGGCGCCGGAGCTCGCGGCGGTCCGCACCAAGCTGGAGCTTGCCGAAAAGGTCGCACAGATCGGCGATCCGGCGGCGCTCGAGGCGCGGCTTGCCGGCAATGAAGACGACCATGATGCCCGCTTCGATCTGGCGCAGATCCTCAATGCGCGCGGCGAACGCGAGGCGGCCGCCGACCATCTTCTGGCAATCATGAAGGCCGACCGCGAATGGCGCGAGGACGGCGCGCGCACCGAACTGCTCAAGTTTTTCGAGGCATGGGGCCAGACCGACCCGGCGACGGTGAAGGCACGGCGCAAGTTGTCGAGTCTTCTGTTCCGCTGATCCGGGAAGGGCCGGCGGCGGCGCAGGGGTTGCTGGCAGCCGCCGCTGCCCCATCTTTAGCGCCATGAAACACAACAAGTCCCGGCGGTGATCCCATGCAGGCTGGCAACACGGTCTATCGCGATCTCGACGATGTGCCGGCGGTGGTTCCGGTTTTCCCGCTGTCCGGTGCGCTGCTGCTGCCCGGTAGCCAGTTGCCGCTCAACCTTTTCGAGCCGCGCTATCTGGCCATGTTCGATGCCGCGCTCAAGGGCAGCCGCGTGATCGGCATGGTGCAGCCCGTCTTCAGCGGCGAGCAGGGCAAGCCGGACAGGCCGAACCTGTGCAAGATCGGGTGCCTTGGCCGCATTACCGCGTTTTCGGAGACCGGCGACGGGCGCTATCTCATCACGCTGGAAGGCATCTGCCGCTTCCGGATCATCGAGGAACTGTCTGTGACCACGCCGTTCCGGCAGTGCCGCATCGCGCCGTTCGCCGGCGATCTGGCCGACAAGGATGAGGGCGCCGATGTCGATCGCGAGCAGTTGCTGGCCGCCTTCCGCGACTATCTGGAGGCCAACCAGCTCGAAGCGGACTGGGCCAGCGTCAACAAAGCCAACAATGCCGCGCTCGTCAACGCGCTGTCGGTCATGTCGCCCTACGGGCCGGCGGAGAAGCAGGCGCTGCTCGAGGCGCCCGATCTGAAAAGCCGCGCGGAAACGCTGGTGGCGATCACCGAAATGTCGCTGGCGCGCGACAATGATGATTATGCCCGCACATTGCAGTAGGCTTTGCGGGTAGACCGGCCGATTCCCGGAAACCGCGATGACCGACGATCCCAAGCCCGATCCTTCCGATGCCGGTGATGCATCGCCGCCCGTCGGCGGCGAGACAGATGCGCATGGCGGTATCGATCCCAAACTGCTCGACCTTCTGGTCTGCCCGCTGACGAAAAAGACGCTGCGGCACGATGTCGAGGCGAACGAACTGGTGTCGGAAGCCGCCGGCCTTGCCTATCCGATCCGCGGCGGGGTGCCGATCCTGCTGCCGTCCGAAGCGCGCTCGCTGCGTGACGACGATGGCGACGCAGAGCGTGCCTCATGAGCACGGCGAAAGAACCGGCGGCAAAGCGTCACAAGCGCGGCGATGCCCGGCGTGAGGCGCTGGTGCAGGCGGCGGCGGAGCGGTTCTGGACGCGGGGCTATGCGGGCAGTTCGATCGCGCAGGTTGCCGCCGCGGCGGGCGTGCCGCTCGGCAATGTCTATTACTATCACAAGACCAAGGCGGACCTTGCGATGGCCGTCGCCGACCTGTTCGTCGGCCAGACCGAGGCACTGATCGACGAGGTTTCCGCCGAGAGCGACGATCCGCGCGGGCGTCTCAAGGCGCTGGTCGGGCGGTTGCGTGCCTCGCAGGCGCCGCGCCTTGCCCATGGCTGCCCGATCGCGGCCGCCTGCCGCGATTTTCGCGACGAGGCGCCCGAGGCGGCACGCCGTGCGGCCGAAAGTTTTTCGATCCTGACCGGCTATATCGCCGCCGAGCTCGGCCGGACCGGGATGCGTCCGGCTCTGGCGCTGGCGCGCGCGCGGGCGATCGTGTGCGACTGGCAGGGCGGCATCGCGCTCGGCCATGCGCTGGGCGAACCGCCCGTTCTGGCCGAGGCGTTCCTGCGGATGGAACGGCTGGCGACGCAGCCCTGACGCGCCGGAAACTGGCCTTCAAGCCCATGCCGACCGGCCACAATCCGGTCACCAAATGATCCACCGCGCGCCGCCATTGCGACCGATTGTCGCCCTCACCATCACCAAATGTTGCGCCCGTTTGCTTTCGGTTCGCAGTCAGGAGGGTGATGATGACCGATACGATGACGGGCGTGCCGCCGGTGCCGCCGAAACGATCGACCGGGGGGCTGAGCCTTGGGGCAAAATTCTTCGTGCTTGGCATTCTGGCGGTGCTGCTCAGCGTGCCGCTTTTCGCCGTGTGGCTGCTGGTGCAGGACCGGGAGGCCAACTATCGCCGCGCCGTCGCCGAGATCGGTGCCCAGTGGGGCGGCAGCCAGACGCTGACCGGACCGCTGCTGGCGGTGCCGGTCACCGTTCTGTCCAATGTGCGCGGACAGGACGGCCGCACGGTGCAGCGCCGGGTCGGGCGGACGCTGCTGATCGCGCCGGAGACGCTCGATATCACCGGCCAGGTCGATCCCGATCGGCGCAAGCGCGGCATTCATGAAGCCATCGTCTATCAGGCCCGCCTGACGGCTCGCGCGCAGTTCGGCGCGCCCGATCTCGATGCGCTGGCGCAGCCGGTTGTCGCGGCCGACTGGTCTCGCGGCAAGCTGGTCGTGGCGCTCGGCGATCTCAAGGGCATCGAGACGGTTACGATCACGCGCGGCGAAACGGCGCTGGACGATGTGTCGCCGGGTATCGGCATTGGCTCGGCCGTCCGGCAATCGGGCTTCCATGTCCCGGTCGATCTGTCGGGCGGTTTCGCCGATGGCCGGACGACCGCCGGCTTTTCACTCGATCTGGCCTTCAAGGGCTCGCAGACGCTCCGGTTCACGCCGGTCGGCGGGGAGACCAAAGTGGCGCTGGCATCGCCATGGCCGCATCCGAGCTTTTCCGGCGCTTTCCTGCCGGCGGCGCGCTCGGTCGGCGAGCAGGGGTTCGAGGCGTCATGGACCGTGCCGCAACTGGCCCGGCCGATCCCGGCGGTGGCCCTGGCCGATGGCCATGCGCCGCTATCGGCCTTTGCGGACGCGCATTTCGGCGCCGATCTCTATCAGCCGGTGCATTTCTACCGTTTCGTCGACCGGGCGGTGAAGTATGGCGTCCTGTTCGTCGGCGCGGCGTTCCTGGTGATCTTCGCCATCGAGGTGATGTCCGGCGGTCGCATGCATCTGGTCCATTACATGATGACCGGCCTGATGATGATCATCTTCTATGTGCTGCTGCTGGCGCTGGCGGAGATGATCGGCTTTGCGGCGGCCTATGCGGCGGCGGCCGGCGCCACCGGCGCGGTGGTGGCGGGGTTCACGGCAACGCTCTTCGCCGGGCGCCGGTGGGCACTGTCGGCCTTTGGCGGGTTCGCGCTGCTTTACGGCGTGCTTTATGTCGTGCTCAGCCTTGAGGACGCGGCTCTTCTTGCGGGCGCGGTGACCGGATTTGTGATCCTGACCGCGATGATGTTCGGCACCCGCAAGGTCGACTGGTCGGCTGGCGGGTCACCAGCGGTGAAAATCTGACGTCAGATCGGGTCCCCGCGCAGCAGGCGCGGCGCGGGGCCCGCAAGGCCGGCAGCCTGCCGGATGAAGAAGCTCTTGAGCTGCGGCATCCGGTCGACCAGCCCGAGCCCGAGATCGCGGACCGCGCGTACCGGCGCCAGATCGTTGGAGAAGAGGCGGTTCAGCACGTCGGTGGTCACGCCCATCTGCACCGTGTCGAAGCGGCGCCAGCGCTGATAGCGCTCCAGAACGTCGAGCGCGCCGATGTCCTGGCCGAGGCGATGCGCTTCGACCACGGTTTCAGCCAGCGCGGCGGCATCCTTGAAGCCCAGATTGAGACCTTGTCCGGCGATCGGATGGATGCCGTGCGCGGCGTCTCCGGCCAGCGCGAACCGCTCGGCGACGAAATCGCGCGCCAGCGTCAGGCCGAGCGGGTAGGCGCGGGGCCCGTCCTCGACGGTCAGTTCGCCCAGCTTGAGCCCGAAGCGCTGTTCAAGCTCCATTTCGAAGGTGAACGGATCGGCCTTCAACAGGCGTTCGGCATTTTCGGTCGATTCGGTCCAGACGATGGAGGACCGGTTGCCGGTCAGCGGCAGGATGGCGAACGGGCCGGCGGGCAGGAAGTGCTCCTCGGCGCGGCCCTCATGCGGGCGCTCATGGGCGATGGTGGCGACGATGCCGGACTGGCCGTAATCCCAGTGAACGGTTCTGATGCCGGCCATGTCGCGCAGCCGCGAGCGGACCCCGTCGCAGGCGATCAGAAGCCGCGCCTCGACGATCGTGTCGTCGCCGGCCATGATCCGCGTCAGTGCACCGTCGCGCTCGAAACCGGTCACGCCCGCGCCCTGGACGATGGTGACGCCGGCCTCGGCACAGCGCTGGCGCAAAATGCGGTTCATCTCGACATTGGGCAGCATGTGGGCAAACGGCTCGCCCGGCGCCACATCGCCGTCGAAGGTCAGGAATACGGGCCGCACCGGATCGGCGGTGCGGCTGTCGGTGACGATCATCTCGGTCATTGGCTGGGCATGCGGCACCAGCGCGTCCCAGCAGTCGAGCGCCTCGAGCATCTTGCAGGCCGCGGCGGCAATGGCCGATGCGCGGCCGTCCTTTTCCCACACGCCTTCGGGCGCGGCGTCGGCAACGACCACCGACAGGTCCGGCGCGCCTCTTGCGACCGACAGCGCCGTGGCAAGGCCGACATAGCCGGCGCCGGCGACGAACACGTCGCAACGGTCGGGCAGGGCCGGCTTTTTCGCCTTGCTGCGCGCGGATTTCGTGCTTGCCTTGGCCATGGGTCTGCCCTTTCAGCGCCGGTGCGTGTGTCACTTGACTTGATGTGCGCGCTTGTAGCAAGGCGGCAACACGTCGCGCAAATCCGCGCGTTGCCACGATCCCCGAACGGCGAGCCGAAATGTCCCAGGCGATGCAAAAGGTCCTGTCGATCCTCGATCTGGAGGCGGCGGGGGAAAACCGCTTCACGGGCCGCAGCCCGCAATCGGGCTGGCAGCGCGTGTTCGGCGGACAGGTGATCGGGCAGGCGCTGGTTGCCGCGCAGCGCACGGTCGATGCCGCCCGGCATGTCCATTCCCTGCACTGCTATTTCATGCGCCCGGGCGATCCTGCGGTCCCGATCGACTATTCGGTCGACCGGATTCGCGACGGCGGCAGCTTCAACACGCGCCGCGTCGTTGCCGAGCAGGGCGGTCGCGCGATCTTCTCATTGTCGGCCTCCTTCCAGCATGACGAGCCGGGCCTCGACCATTTCATGCCGATGCCGCCCGAGGTGCCGATGCCCGAGGCGCTGATGGGCGAAAGCCAGCTGATCGAGAGCTTCATCGACAAGGTGCCGGACAACATCCGCCGCTACTGGCTGCGCGAGCGGCCGATCGAATTGCGCCCGGTTTCGTTCACCCATTATGTCAGCCGCGAGAAACTGCCGCCGGTGCAGCATGTCTGGGTGCGGGCGACCGGCCCGGTGCCCGACGACCGCGCGCTTCAGGCCGCCGTTCTCGCCTATCTGTCGGACATGACGCTGCTGGACACCTCGCTGTTTGCGCATGGCCGTGCGATCTTCGATCCGGACCTGCAGGTGGCGAGCCTCGACCACGCCATGTGGTTCCACCGCCCGCACAAGCTCGACGACTGGCTGCTCTATGCCCAGGACAGCCCCAATGCGTCCGGCGCGCGCGGCTTCACCCGCGGCGGGCTCTACACGCGCGACGGCGTGCTGGTGGCGTCGGTCGCCCAGGAAGGGCTGATCCGCCTCCGCAAGCGCTGAAAAAACGAGCAGATCGGCGATTTTGCACAATATTTGTGCGCTTGATGGTTTCCGCCGTGCCCGCTTTCCGAGCATCATATAAAAAAGCCTTTTGAAAACAGCGGTTTGCCAAACTGGCACGCTGTGTGACTCCTCGTTGTGCGATGCAGCGTGCCCATAGGGCCGGCGCGCTGTGATGTCCGCCGGCGGCATGGTGCCGCTGCGGCAAGCAAACGGGGAAGACAAGCGCATGAAAATAGTCATGGCTATCATCAAGCCCTTCAAGCTCGACGAGGTGCGCGAAGCGCTCACAGGGCTGGGCGTTCAGGGCCTGACCGTGACGGAGGTCAAGGGTTATGGGCGCCAGAAGGGACACACCGAGATCTATCGCGGCGCCGAGTACGCGATCAGCTTCCTGCCCAAGCTGAAGATCGAACTGGTCGTCGACGACGACATGATCGACAAGGTGCTGGAAGCCATCGCCGGAGCCGCCAAGACCGGCCAGATCGGCGACGGCAAGATCTTCGTCCACTCCATTGACCAGGCGGTGCGCATCCGCACCGGCGAAACCGATTCCGAAGCGCTGTGACGCCGCTTCGCCATTCAGGAGTTCTCCACCCATGACACAACGCAAACTTGCAACACTGGCGGGCACCGGCCTTGCGGCGACCATGATGATGGTGGCGCCCGGTTTCGCCCAGGAGGCGGCCGAAGCCGCCTCGACCGCGCCGTCGGCCGAGGTCCAGTACATCTTCAACACGCTGCTGTTCCTGATCGGCGGCTTCCTGGTGATGTGGATGGCGGCCGGCTTCGCCATGCTCGAGGCGGGGCTCGTCCGCTCCAAGAACGTCTCGATGCAGTCGCTCAAGAACATCGCGCTCTATTCGATCGCCGGCCTGATGTACTGGATCGTCGGCTACAACCTGATGTACGCCAATGTCGATGGCGGCTTCATCGGCTCGTTCGGACCCTATTCGTTCGATCCGGTCGGAGGCGATGCGCTCGACACGGGCTATTCGACGGCGTCCGACTGGTTCTTCCAGATGGTGTTCGTGGCGACCGCAGCCTCGATCGTCTCGGGCACGCTCGCCGAACGCATCAAGCTGTGGCCGTTCCTGATCTTCGTGGTCGTGCTGACCGGCTTCATCTACCCGATCGCCGGTTCCTGGCAGTGGGGCGGCGGCTGGCTCAGCGAGATGGGCTTCTCCGACTTCGCCGGCTCGACGCTGGTGCACTCGGTCGGCGGCTGGGCGGCACTCGCCGGCGCGATCCTGCTGGGCGCTCGTACCGGCAAGTTCGGCGCGGACGGCTCGGTCCATCCGATGCCCGGCTCGTCGATCCCGCTGGCAACGCTTGGCACGTTCATCCTGTGGCTCGGCTGGTTCGGCTTCAACGGCGCCTCGCAGCTCGCAATGGGCACGATCAGCGACGTCACCGACGTCAGCCGTATCTTCGCCAACACCAACCTGGCTGCCGCTTCGGGTGTCGTGACGACGATCGTTCTGCTGCAGATCCTCTACAAGAAGATCGACACCACGATGGTCCTCAACGGCGCGCTGGCCGGTCTCGTCTCGATCACCGCAGAGCCGCTGGCACCGTCGATCTGGCAGACCGTCATCATTGGCGGCATCGGCGGCGCGATCGTCGTCTTCACGGTTCCGCTGCTCGACAAGCTGAAGATCGACGACGTGGTCGGCGCCATCCCGGTTCACCTGTTCGCAGGCATCTGGGGCACGCTGATCGTGCCGTTCTCGAACGGCGACGCGAGCTACGGCGTGCAGCTTATCGGCATCCTGGCCTATGGCGTGTTCACGCTGGTCGCCTCTTTCGTGGTCTGGTTCATCCTGAAGGCCGCGATGGGCATCCGCGCCAGCGAGGAAGAAGAGATGATGGGCCTGGACATGTCGGAAACCGGCGTCGAGGGCTATCCGGAGTTCACACGCGGCTAATGCCGCCCCGCGGGGCCGGCCGACATGCCGGCCCCTGCATTTCGACAAGGCCCGAAAGGGCCGTTCCAATCCCGTCGTGATGGTCACCATCACACAAACTGACCCGGTCCCTGTGACCGGGTCTTTTTTGGTTTGCGGGGCATCCGGGCGGAGCGCCATGGTTAATGTGCGTTTAACCAGTGCCCGCTAGGCTTCGGCGCGACATCGCAGCCAATCTCCAGACCGCACGCGCACGGGACCTACAATGTCGGCAGACCGTTTCGACCCCCATCACGGCCACGCAGACCTCGCCGACGGCGCATTTGCAGCGGATATGGCGGGTGCCCACGGCTCCGTCGGGGACTGGCTGCGCCGACAGGTTCGTTTCGCGGCCGGATGGGCGCTTCTTGCAATTGCCGGTTTTATCGTCCTTTCGCTGCTCGGCTGGAACGTTGCCGACCCCAGCCTCAGCCACGCCACCGAAGCGCCCGTCACCAACTGGATGGGCTATCCGGGCGCGGTGACCGCCGATCTGGCCATGCAGTTCTTCGGGCTGGCCGCGCTGGCAGCGCTTGTTCCATTGGTCGCCTGGGCCGTGGCGCTGATCCGCGACCAGGTTCCGAACCATGCCGGGCGCCGGATGGCGGCATGGTTCGCGGGCGCCCTTGGTGCCGCGGCGGCGATTGGCTGCCTGCCGCCGACCGCCGGCTGGCCGCTGCCGTCGGGCCTTGGCGGTGCGCTGGGCGACATGGTGCTTCGTGTGCCCGGCACATTCACCGGCGGCTATCCGTCAGGCTTCGCCGCGGTCGTCGTCGCGCTCGTCATGGCGCCGCTTGCGGCCGTTCTTCTGGCGTTGGCGAGCGGGATCGGCTGGCGCGGAACCGATGACGACCGGCCTTTCGATGCCGACGATGACGAGGAAGAAGGCGGTTCGCTGATCACGATCGGAGCGCTCCTGCACGGCATCTATGCGCTGCGCACGGCCGCCCGCCGCGTTCTGCCCGCCGATGCGTTCGGGGGCATGGTTCGCCGCCGCTCCGCTTCCACGCCGGTGCCCGCCACGCCGCGGGCCGAGCCGCAATTGGAGCCGTCGATGGACGCGATGCCGGCGCCGGACGCCGACGCCGCGCAATGGCAGGATGCCGGGGACTGGGCACCGCAGCCGGCGCCGACGGAGGCGATGCCGGAGCTGCTCCCCACCGAGCAGGCCGCGACGCGCGTCGCCGCGCCCGCGCCGCCGCCCAAGCCGAGCGTGCGTGTTCAGCGCGAGGCGCAGCCCTCGCTGATCAAGGACGGCGTGTTCGAGCTGCCGCAGATCCACTATCTGAACGAACCCAGGAACATCGTCCGCGACGAGACGCTGTCGGACGAGGCGCTCGAACAGAACGCCCGCCTTCTGGAAGGCGTGCTTGAGGATTTCGGCGTCAAGGGCGAGATTATCCAGGTCCGCCCCGGACCGGTGGTCACGCTTTACGAACTCGAGCCGGCGCCGGGCATCAAGTCGTCCCGCGTGATCGGCCTGGCCGAGGACATCGCCCGCTCGATGAGCGCCATCGCCGCGCGCGTCGCCGTCGTTCCCGGCCGCAACGCGATCGGCATCGAACTGCCCAACGCCCGGCGTGAGACGGTCTATCTGCGCGAACTGATCTCCTCGCAGACCTACGACAAATCCAAGGCGAAGCTGTCGCTGACGCTGGGCAAGACGATCAATGGCGAGGCGGTGATCGCCGATCTGGCGAAGATGCCCCACCTGCTGGTCGCCGGCACCACCGGTTCGGGCAAATCGGTGGCCATCAACACGATGATCCTCTCATTGCTCTACAAGATGACGCCGGACGAGTGCCGGCTGATCATGATCGATCCGAAGATGCTGGAACTGTCTGTCTATGACGGCATTCCGCATCTTCTGACGCCCGTCGTCACCGATCCCAAGAAAGCGGTCGTCGCGCTCAAATGGACCGTGCGCGAGATGGAACAGCGCTACAAGAACATGTCCAAGCTCGGCGTGCGCAACATTGACGGGTTCAACACCCGCATCCGCGAGGCCAAACGCAAGGGCGAGGAGCTGAGCCGTACCGTCCAGACCGGCTTCGACCGGGAGACGGGCGAGGCGATCTACGAGACCGAAGCGCTCGATCTGCACGTCATGCCCTATATTGTCGTGATCATCGACGAGATGGCCGACCTGATGATGGTCGCCGGCAAGGACATCGAGGGCGCCGTCCAGCGCCTGGCGCAGATGGCGCGCGCCGCAGGCATCCACGTGATCATGGCCACGCAGCGTCCGTCGGTCGATGTCATCACCGGCACGATCAAGGCCAACTTCCCGACGCGCATCTCCTTCCAGGTGACCTCGAAGATCGACAGCCGCACGATCCTGGGCGAGCAGGGCGCCGAACAGCTTCTGGGCATGGGCGACATGCTCTATATGGCCGGCGGCGGCCGGATCCAGCGTGTCCACGGCCCGTTCGTTTCCGACGAAGAGGTCGAGGATGTCGTCAGCCACCTGAAGGCGCAGGGCGTGCCGCAGTATCTCGACGCGGTCACCGAGGATGACGAGGAAGACGAGGCCGGCTCCGAAGGCGGCGCGGCGGGCGCCGGCGGCGCAAGCGACAGCGAAGACCCCTACGACCAGGCGGTCGCCATCGTCATCCGCGACCGCAAGGCGTCGACCAGCTACATCCAGCGGCGGCTCGGCATCGGCTACAACCGCGCCGCCACGCTGATCGAACGGATGGAGCAGGAAGGCGTCATCGGGCCGGCCAACCATGCGGGAAAACGCGAGATCCTGGTTCCGTCCGAAGAAGAACGCATGGCGGGCATGTGACCATGCCGCGACGATGTGTGATCCATGACACGTCGTCCGCGTCCGGCTTCGCCTTAGTGAAGTCAAACTGTGACTCCAGATGAACCGCAAAAGACGACCCACCGATTCCGGGAAACCACCATGACCGACGCAAAAAGAGCCCACCGGACCCCGATGACCCGCCGCGGCGCGCTGACCGCCGGCGCTGGTCTCATCGCCGCCTTCGCGCTGCCCGGCGCGACGCGCGCCCAGGCTTCGGGCGCCCCGCAGCAGATCGCCGACCATTTCACCCGCGTGCGCACCATGATGGGCGAGTTCGTGCAGTTCGGCCCGTCCGGCGAGCAGACCGGCGGCCGCTTCTTCATCGAACGGCCCGGACGTGTGCTGTTCCTTTACGAGGAGCCGTCCAACATCCGCGTGGTTGCCGACGGCCGTTCGGTGCTGGTCAACAACACCAAGCTCGACACCTGGGATGCCTATCCGCTCAACAAGACGCCGCTCAACCTGGTGCTCGGCGACCGCATCGATCTGAGCGGCGGGCGCGTGCAGAGCGTGGTGGAGGCCGAGGACCTGACGACGATCGTCCTGCAGGACAAGCAGATATTCGGTGATTCGACCATCACCATGATGTTCGATCCGTCGAGCTACGATCTGCGCCAATGGACCATCCGCGATGCGCAGGGCAAGGACACGACCGTCATGATCTTCAATGTCCGCGAGGGCGTGACCTTCGGCGAAGGCACGTTCGACATCGACTATGCGCGGGTGCGCGAGAAAGACCCCAGCTATTCGCGCTGACCGTCTTCCGGCACGACAAGGAACTTGTGTGCGACGGCCGCTCCATCGGGGCGGCCGCTTGTTTTTGAGCCCCGGCGGGGCGAGAAGGCACCCGGTTCACGAGTTCAGGACCATTTTCCTTTCGCCACGATCCGGCCTTACCGATGACGCAGCCCTTCACCATCGCCACCTGGAACATCAATTCGGTGCGCCTCAGGCGCGGGCTGGTGGAGCGGTTTCTCGCCGAGCATGCGCCGGACATACTGTGTCTGCAGGAAATCAAGTGCCAGGACGACCAGTTCCCGGCCAAGGCGTTCGCCAGGGCGGGCTATGAGCATGTCGCACTGCACGGCCAGAAGGCCTATCACGGCGTGGCCACGCTTTCGAAAATACCCTTCTCAAGCGTCGAAAGGCGCGATTTTTGCGGTTTGGGCGATGCCCGGCACGTGGAATGCACGGTCGATGTGAACGGCAGCCGCATCCGCGTGCACAATTTCTACGTTCCGGCCGGCGGCGACGAGCCCGATCCCGCCATCAATCCGAAATTCGCGCACAAGCTGAAATTCCTCGACGAGATGCGGGCGATCACCACCGAGACCGGTGCGCATGACGCCGCGCTTCTCGTCGGCGATCTGAACATCGCGCCGCTGGAAAACGATGTCTGGTCACACCGGCAGCTGCTGAAGGTGGTCAGCCACACGCCGGTCGAGACCGAGACGCTGGAAGAGTTGCGGCGCGAGGCGGGCTGGGCCGACCTGATGCGTCATCATGTTCCCGGGGACCAGAAGCTGTTTACCTGGTGGAGCTACCGCGCCAGGGACTGGGCCGCGTCCAATCGCGGCCGGCGGCTCGATCACATCTGGGGATCGGAAGCGTTGCGCGGGGCGCTCACCTCGATGAATGTGCTGACCGAGGCGCGCGGGTGGGAAAAGCCTTCCGACCATGTGCCGGTCGTCGCTCGGTTCGCGCCATAGGCCCGTCAGAGTTCGGGTGCCTGCCGGAGGCGCCGTTCGGCGACCTCGATGTCCTTGATGAGCTGTTGCAGATCGTCGGAAAGCTGCCGATGGATGGCCATGGCCGTTTCCGGATATTCCGCCAGCATGCGGCGGAACAGGGCACGGCTGATCCGCAGCACCTCGGTCTCGGTGTCGGCCTGGGCGTCGGTCATCCACTGGGTTTCGGTGATCAGGGCCAGTTGGCCGAGCACACTGCCCGGACCGGCGCTCTGCACCGGCTTGCCGCCATCGGGCGCCGACCGCGACAGCGTGACGGCTCCGCTGACGATGACGAAGCCGCAATCGGCGCGATCGCCCTGGCGATAGAGTCTCCGGCCGGCGCGAAACTGAAGCCGTTCGGCGCCGAATGCCAAAAGGCGCAGCTGCTCGGCAGTCAACTGCTGGAACAGGCCCGCCGCCGAAAGGGCGCGTATGTCATCGTT